GGTCAATGATACCATCACGGTGCTGTGTCACCGAGATTCCCGAAGCATTGCGAGGGAAGAGCGAACCAGGCTGCAGCGGCATGTCCGAAAACCAGAGGGTGACCTCCACAGTAATGGTGGTTATGCGATATTGATTTTTTTCGCAGCCCAAGGAGTAACGGCAGCCGTCGTGATTGGGGTCTCTCAGATATAACCACGTCATCGGGGCCAAGCGGATGCTCAGGCAGCATATCTGGCAGATTTGCCGTCAGCTTATGTGCAGCGGCCGCTGACCCAGATCTGGCGGAAGCGGATTGAGAGTGAGTGGACCCAGATGTAGATCCTCTGGAAGTAGATCGGGCTGGAGCCAGGTCCGACTGACTGAGGTCGTTTAGGGACTGGTCAGTCGCCGGGATACCAGATCCAGCCGCCGCGGGACCCTGCTGAAAGACGCAGTGGTTGGAACGCTCTCGGCGTCAAGCTTCCGATCCCCACTTAGAGAGGGCTCACCGAGTATCCTCTTCCAGTAAATTATCCGCGATGGGCGCAGGAGCTTTAGAAGTCTCGTCATCTTCACCTCACCGTCGGCCGAGCTGCCGAAGACAACTTCCAAAGTCTCGCCGTGACTCTTGGATTTGACCTTAGATTTGGGTCCTGGCTTTGGTATCCTCTTAGAATCTCCGCTTTCGTCGGAACTGTTGAAGAGGCTGCTCGCCGCTAGTGGCTGTATACCTTTGCCTTAAATTTGGAAATGCCAGATTTAGAGTGGGCCGGATCGGGCTCAATCGGATCCGGATCCGCGTCGAGCCGATACCTCCGTCATCACCGATTACTCCAGACATGGGGATCCATAGAACCAGCGTCCTGTTAATGCTTGGATTTAGAGTGAGAGGGCGTAGTTGTCTCTGTGGACGCTGAGAAACTGAATCGGAAGACAGATATCGGCTTCGAGCATACGAGAAGCTCATGTTGCTGCTCATGAATGGGCTGGTCCGGCTGCCATCGTTACACCTGTGAAACTACAAGTCCCCATCCCACGTCTGAAGCATCACTGAGAACACACAACTGCTTGGTTGGGTCGGGAAAAGTTAACAAAGTTACCAAGTAGTTTTTTCACTGATTAAAAACTCGCAACTTCATCGAGGGTCAGCTCCAATTTGATTCCTGTCGCTGTTCGTTTGGTCTTCTTTGCGCCAGGAAGAGCGATATCAAGACGTTCCTGTAGAGGACGAGCTACCCGAGCATAGTCGACTAGTCCTGATCTCATCCAATTGCTTACACACAAAACTATTGCAACTCCGCAGCGGTAGTTGGAACAGGCATATTCTGCAGAGTTTCTATCCGTTTCGGATCGTGACCAACTCCGTCTCGATTGATTATACGCCCACACCAGCGTACTTCAGTTAGAAACAATGCAATCATCTTCGGGTTGAGAATTAGACCATGTTCTTCGAGTTTCACTAAAACGGCCTCAATTGCATCCACGAGTTCCTCTGCAGTGTCAGCAAAGACTAACAAGCCGTCAATCCATACAATGACGCAGTTGTTCACAAGGTTTCCCAACACCATCTCAATCGTGGGCCGAAAATGCAACGCAGCATCAGCGCTACCTTGAGGTACTCGTGTCGGTGTAAATACGCCTTTGTCTGTCATGTACGAGAGGATTTCGTGGCAGCTATTGTCCAAAGGGGGTTGCCAAAACCCTTCAAAAAATCAAACATTGCGTAGTATATCTTGCCTTACCGTGTGCAAGAGCCGCTTTGAGACTTGGCATCACGCCAGGAATCGGCTCAGTAACTGCATCTGTAGGTCGATAGTCAACGGCTTGTCTGAACTCGTTCGAATTTGGCTTACTAACCGGTAGAGCTGGACAACACCATTGATTTTCCCGATTTTCATACACCCAGCCCAGCGACACTAGCTC